TAAAAGTTATTGGAGAGATAAATTTCTTAATCAGTGTGAACAAGCTTTTGTTTCATCCTTATATTTTCGGGTAGCTGCATCACTACCAACAAAAGCTTTTTGTTCATATTATTGGCACTACCTACCCTGGCACAGACAGTTCAAGATTAATGCACAGTATGCCCATTCGCAGGTTAGATATTGAAATTTAAGATTTTGAAGTCTGCCAAACTTTTAAACAGTCCTACGGAGGAGGTAACTGTGTTCTGGCACTTGTGGTTAATACCTTATGCTTTCTCACATGGATGTAAAATATTAGATAGGAGATGAAAATGCCTATTCCCCTGCTTCTGGATGTTGTGGACTATTTACCTGTACCTTTGACTGCACAAACTTTCGCAGTTCCTCTGCATGGCGTTCTAGGATAACTTGAGTACTTTTATCTTTCAGGAGGTGTTTTTGAGCTCCATTAAGATGCATCACATTTGTCTTTATGTCGTTTGAAGCACGCTGACAACAACAAATTATAACTTTTTCCTTTAAAATAGCTGGTGAATTAACAATATTCTTAACAGATTGAGCAAATTGTTGTAGAGAAAGCGTGGAATCTTTCAACAGTTTAAACATTATCATTCTTATCAAATGCAATAAATCATCTGCCAGATGCGAACCATAAGATTGTTTCCAAAGTGTGTTTATTTCCTCCGATATTTTCACATTCGTCAGTTTGTCAATTTCCCCCATTTCAACAGCAACCTCAAGATTTTTAATATGTGAAATTGTGCAAGTGAGATTGCAAATCATTTTACCATTTTCATATTTGAAGGATTCGATGTATGGGATTGCATTCTCAATTGCTTCACGGCCAGGATAAGGTATCAGTCCTTCATTTGCACTGGGTTGTCCCGTCATTTCAATATCGACTGCATTTGATGGCCCTGGTGTAGAAGCTAATCTCTCAGTTTCAGGTTCATCAGCCTGTTCATGTGCAATGACACAGCTGCAATGACAGCATCTTGAGACACGTGTTTGACAACACCATTGCACACATCCAGGGGAACGATCTTCTTGAGCTGGAGTATCACCAAAGTATTTTAAAACAATTTGAATAAGCTCTTGTCTGGTTTTTGTCACAAAAGGATAGATGGTTTTACCCATTTCAATAATTTCGGTGGAAAATTTTAACCTAATAATATCTGGGCATCCTTTATCAATGACAGACAACTGAATGGCAAAGTTTTTGATAAACGTCATTATTTTGTTAACATCAAGCATTACTTTTTTCCTTGCAGAACAAATACCCACATACAGTAGTTGATCAGGGGTTTCATCAAATTTATTGCAATTGTCGTCGTGACACATGTACAGTAAAACATCAAATTCAGTAAAAGTACGTGATCCTGTGTTTGTAATTTTCCTTTCCTTAAGATCATCTACAGATTTCTTGAGTTCTTGGAATATTTCTTCCACTTCGTCATAATTTTCGCTGAGTATCGCTATGATCTGTTTTGTATCGGCCTTTTGTCTTTCTGCCTCTTCTTTTCGTCTGTCTTCCTTCTTGTCTTTATTCCTATTGCTTCGCTCCCACCAGACCCAAACGAAAACGGCAAATAAGGTTTGAATCAATGTGCAAATTACATATACGTAGTCTCTCGTTTTGGTGAGATCATCCGCCATTTTGTTAAAATAGATATATTCATATATACTTGTTGAGTTCGTTGTAGTTGTCATTATTATATTAGCCTATATAATTTATATCATTCTTTATTACAAGAGATACACACTCTGTGGAAGCATACAAGAACTAAGTAGTGATGGGCGACACTATCGAAAAATAACAATACTCGTTATATATCGAAAAATAACAATACTCGATAACAATACTCGTAATTTAAAATTCCAGCTGCTCAAAATAAACAGGGTCAAAGACAAAGGTTCGCACGCGGCCTCGGTTATTAACCTGGGGCCGGTTGTATAAAAACGTAGTTAACGCTAACTGTAGTTAGCGTTAATCACTGTAGTTAAATCCTTAACTGTAATTAGTTAACTACATGACTTAACTGCGTTGCACAAAACGTAGTCACAGAATAGGAAGTTATACCAGAAGCGTAACTCTAGTCGTTTCCCTTATTGTTTGACGTCCACGAAAATTTTTAACTCGCTCACGTCAGGCCACGCCATCCAGGGGCCGGTTGTATAAAACTCTTAATCACTTTTTAATCACTATTTTGTAGTTAAATAGTGATTAACTCTCAAATACGCGCTTCTTATTGGATGACGTTTCCACTAACTATAGTTAACTTTAATCACTTTTTTATACAACCGGCCCCTGGCTAGTACATCCGGAAGTTTTTATCAGGATTTGGTAGGTACAAAGTGCCGGTTGTACTAGCCAGGATGGCGTGATTGATGACGAATCGCTTGTAAAAACGCGGACAAATATTTGCTCGAGTTACGCTTCTGGTATAACTTCCTATTCTGTGACGTAGTTAGTCGGATAGTTAACTAATCACGTAGTTAACTGTGCGTGGGGCTTGCGTGGGGTGTTTAAACACAAAATTACATAAAGTAAGCAGCGAGTAACGACCGCTGACACACATTTTCAACATGATTGTGGACTCGTATTTTGCAAATAGGCGGGAATTTTATTCAAAACAGTGAAAAATAAACAAGAAAACAGGGAAAAACCGCCTCAAAAATCATAAAAGAATGCAGTTTTTCCTTGAGATGTCTACGGTAAACCAAGGTATAGCTGTTTGGCAATAATTTATCAGTGTTTCTTGGTGTAATGGACCATACTTCGTCTTCGAGAAATCGTCCTGTGCAAAAATATGTTCTGTTTTCGTAAAAACACCAAAGCGATAGCATTTGAAGAGTTTATATTGTCAGGAAACATTCACAGGGAAGATAGCGATTGAAAATCTCAGGTAAGCGTTGCTTTTCATTATTGTTTTACTGAAAAATGTTGTTCACTCCTATACAAACGCCATTTTTAACTACGTTTTGGACAGTTAACTATACCCTAGAGCATAGTTAACTTTAACTACTTTTTAACTGCAGTTAAGGCTAACTACACTTTTATACAACCGGCTTAACTACGTGATTAAAGTTAACTACTTTTTAAGGCTTTTTAACTACTTTTTAACTGCAGTTAGCGCTAACTACGTTTTTATACAACCGGCCCCTGCTGTTTTATTAGTTTACGTATTGCAGTTTTCGGAAATTTGCCCCGCCCCCCTTTTAGGATTGAACAAATATAAAGATAATTCACGAAGGTGAATCTCTCTTATAAACATATCTTTAGCAAATATATGTGAAATTTCAGTCTTGATGATGGCATAACATTCGACAACCATGGGCATGGCGATTAGCTCTGTGCCCGAAATTCCTCACGCATGGGCACATCACTCATGGTTACCTAAAATCTACATGAAAGCAAGTGGTTATGATTTAATTTTCGCATCGAATCCGCTGGAAATAAGTCAGGGTTGTCACGCTGAAGATATAATAAATGTACAGTGCAGTGTTTAGATTATTCATTATTTTATTTTGCGATCATGTTTCGGGGACTAAGAGGAGGCCAAATTTCCTAGGAAATTCTGAGGGTTGGGGGGAGGGAATTTCCTGTGACAACGGCTTTCGAACAACGGGTCCCAGGTTAGCTTTAACCAGGGCTTAACCCTGGCCAAGGTTAACCTAAACTTCAAAGCAGACTTCCCAATAACTTGCTGATAAACTTGGAAGTATTTCTTCAGAAATCTTGTCTGGATCAATAGATTGGGTTACTATGATGTGAATTAAAATCTTGTTGGGGTTATATTTTTTCCCTCGTGAAAATCTAGGCTAGCTACTGTGAGGAATTGAAAACATTGACAAATATAATAGTAGTGGTGTTTTCCACAAAAAAACCCCGAATCAATAAAGATTTATTACCGCGTGTAAACTTACGAAAGAGCTTGTCCTCATGTTACAGGTAACACTCAAATCTCAATGCTGTGCTTGCACGCTTTATTGCATATGCTGTAATACGTACGATGCCGTTTTAAGATGCAATGATCGATAACCAACTTGTTTCTGAATTTGGTTACCCAGTATATTAATATGAACGTTTAATGTACCACAAATTATTAACAGCCAATATAATATAATAAAATCATACCTCATGGTTGGCATTGCATTGATTATTCGATTCGCATTTTCAAAGTTAATCCGTGGTTATATGAACCTGGTCACTGAACCAAATTGCGCTAATAATTTTGTTCTTTGCCTATATTTACATTTTACAAATGTTTGTACAAGGTTTTCTAGAATTAATTACTATTAATTGGTTTGGACTGGTTGCTTACTTCACCTGCCCTCCCCATCAATATCTGGTAGGATTTGAACTTTTCATGAGAATGGTTTGTGAATACCATTGGGTGGGCAAATATGTTAATTAAAGAGTAGACGATGGAACAAATTTGAAATCTGCATAATATTTCTGAGTGTGGATTTAAAGTCTACAGACTCGACTACTAGTTAAACATTTATTATGCCAAGAGGGGGGGGATGAAGATGTCAAGGGGGGGCACCGAAATATTTCTGGTATTAAAGGGGGGGGGGCCTTGAAAGTTCTCGATATACTGAAGGGGGGCTCTAAACTTTTCAAAGTTTTGGTCCAGCAGGGGCCTGGAGTGTTCACTCCCACCATAGTTAATAGAATAGATGGTTTGGAAACTCCCCCTTACTGTGAAATTCAGGCAAAAATCATGTAAAAAATTCAAGTTAAAATTTGCGTAATAAAGTAATTATTTTTGTGAAATGATAACCATTTTTGTAAAATACAGTCAATTTACATGCAATTTGTTTGCGAAGTTGCTTTAGAAAACACCAGAAAGAAAATCCTTCTGGGGGAGGACCCCATAGACCCCCCTTTTCTCCCTATAATTATTACACGTATAATCCTCCGACATCCCCCCCCCAAACGTCAGATGCTTTGCTACATCCCTGATGGTTGTATTCGAAACCAATTTCAGTTTTAAGATATCCTTAGTCTGCTCTTCTAAATGGATACATGAAATCACCTACAGCTTATTTTAAATTTTTTGGCGCCAGGTTTGTGTAACGATTTGTAAGCATTTGTAACAAGTAACGATTTGTAAGCATACGATTTGTAAGAACGATATGTTCTATCTTTATGGGATATTTAGTACAAACGGGATGAACGTGATTCAAAAAATTGAAGCATACTGGCACTTTTGCATGCATTGTTGACAGGCATGCAAAGACATTTGCAACAGATGCCAGGAGATATGTTGGGTGGGGGCGACATTCTCTAAGGTTCCAGCACATTACCCTGATCCAGGAAATCCTGGCCACTACATGAATGTGTTCAAGACTCTGACTACGCTGAATGACGGACAACAACAACCTGTTGATAATTTCGCCCCTAGAGCTAATCTAAAATTTTTTTAAGACGGCATCATTTTATCTGGTGCTAGTGAGGTGAAGGAAGCAGCAGGTCGGTATTTTTGTCGAGAAGCACATGCTTGAGTATATCAGACATTTTGAGGAACTGGAAATTGTATATATGATAAGAAAGAATTCCGGATTGTACCCCCTCGATTCCGAATTCTGGAGGGGGGGGCATTGAAAATTTACCAATAACCTCAACAGGGGCCCTGTAAAAATATGAGCTTTTTTCAACAGACATCTTCATCCCCCCCTGCATAATAAATGTACTTTCCCTTACTAGTATAGATTTAATTGGTATTAATTAAATAGAGAAAAAATGTACATACAGATTTACATTACATTCGCTTGATTGATTGATTGATACAGCAAACAAAGAAAACATTCTTCACGATTTGTGGTGTCATATTTTCCCACAAATCAAGGCCAAAGAGAGCGAAAATTCTTTAAGTCGCTTTTCTTCAGTGCCATAATTTTTATTTTTGATTTCCAACATCACCAATCTTATTAAGTGCAGAAGATCACCTTGGGGAGCATATTCCAACAGTTTGCGTATTTTACCACGAATTTCAACTTCTTTACTCATGATGTCAGGTATTGTCTTAAATTTAACTTGCTGTTCAAAATGTTTAATATAGGAATTTGGGCATGCAATATTGCAATTCATTTCACCACTTTCATACCTTAAGTGTTCAATGTATGGAATTGCTTGCTTTATTTTATCATGCCCAGGATAAGGCATCAGTTCATCATTGGCTTGTTGATTCGGCCCTGGTGTAGCATTTATAAGCACAAGGTCAAAGTTCTGAGTTTCAGGTCCATCTGTGCTGGAGATATTTCGTGCATCAGTATACCCAAAGTACTCTAACACCTTCTTAATAACGTTTTGTCTATGCGTTGACACAAAAGGATGAATGGTTTTACCCATTTCAATGATTTTGGTAGAAAATTCCAACTTAATATCCTCCGGACATGCTCTACCGTGAATGTTAAAACATAACTTAACATGGAATTCCATGAATAACTTCATTATTTCCTCAACATCTGATTTAACTGACCTAATAGCAATCACAAGCTCACACAAAGGCGTCCCAAATCTTTCCATATTGTCTGGGTGACACATGTACAGTAAGACATGAAATTCAGTTAATGTACCAGTAATATTCTTTGCCTTTAATTTATCTACATTTTTCTTAAATTTGTCAAAAATCTTTACCACGTCGTCGTATTGTTGACTGAGAACTGCTGCAATGTTTTCCATATCCGCTTTCTGTCTGGCTTCCTCTCGTTCTCTTTCTCTCTCTCTGGCTTCCCTCGTTTCTCTCTGTCTGGCTTCCTCTCGTTCTCTTTCTCTCTCTCTGGCTTCCCTCGTTTCTCTCTGTCTGGCTTCTTCTCGTTCCATTTCTCTCTCTCTGGCTTCCCTCGCTTCTCTCTGTCTGGCTACCTTTTGCTCGTTCTTCATTTTTTTCCGTTCATACCAACCTCGGAAATAAACCAAACCAACAACGGCCACAAGGGTTTGAATGATCATGCAAAATGCAACTATCCAGTCGCTAGCTTCTGCCATTTTGATAAACGTGTTGGGTACAGGGCTCTCACTTCCAGCTACAGTCTTTTCCTTAAATTTACACTGAAATTTCCTTAGAATTGAAAAAATTTCCTTAAAACCGGAAGTGGCAATAAAATTGGCGGGAAATCACAAAATGTTGTTGTTTTCGATTTAGAAGTTTTTAGAAATGGGCTATTCCAATTATTATCTGCACCCCCCCTGTTGAGGAACCTTGGAATTTCCAGGGGAGGGGGTGTATTAACCTTGGAATTTCCAGGGGAGAGGTGCATTAACTTTAAATTTCCAGGGGAGGGAATACATTAACCCTGGAATTTCCAGGGGAGGGGGTGCATTAACCCTGGAATTTCCAGGGAAGGGGGCATTCAGGCTCTGGATTTCCAAGGGGAGGAGTAATTTTCACATGGAATTTCCAAAGGGAGGGGTAAATTTGATGGGATGGAAATTCCATGGGAGGACATATGTTAGAGGCAAATTTCCAGGAGTAAATGTCCCATGATGGAAATTCCATAGGGAGGGGTAATTTACACATGGAAATTCCATGGACAGGGCCAAATTTTAAATGGAAATTCCATGGGGAAGGCCTAATTTAGAATGGAAATTCCATGGGGAAGGGTAATTTTTACAAGGAATTTCCATGGGAAGGGGTAAATTTTACATGAAAATTTGCGGAAATTCCAGGGGAGTACCGACATGAGAAAGGG